AAGTATATTCTTAAACATCAGTGCTAAAACAGCAGTTGTGATACAACAAATATGTAAGTTTACATTAACACTTGTTTGTTTAGACTTGGTTTAAATATAAAAGGCCAGTTATTGTAGTAGCCAAAAATTAAGCATGAAAAAAGCCTCCCAAGCCTGATCAGTTTGAGAAATCAAACTTAATCAAGATATACATGCCTATGAAAAAATGTGTTCAGAGGAAATGTCACTGTAGAAGACCTTGAAGTTTATGAAGTCGTGAAGTTCTCAGGGTAGCATGTTAAACACTTCATTCTGAATGCCTTCAGTTATTTTCTATTCCAAATTTATAACCTGAATGCAGCAGATTCAGCACACATGCTGTACAAGCTGAGTCTCAGACTCAGCTCAGGAGCCTGCTCATACAATGGCTTTTAATGGACAGTCATGGAAGCTGATGGCCATTCAAATGAATGTAACAGTCAAACACTTGCAGCTTTGATTTGCCACAGAAATTAACCGAGCAGAGCCCAGCATCTCAAACATGCTCAGCTGCTGCTCCACACTGTCTCAGTCAGTTTCCAGTAACTAGAGGTCAGTTTAATAAACAGCATCCTTAAGGATGGACATTGACAAGGGATTCTAATAGTTATAGTTATAAATGTAAAAGTAAGCATCTGACCTACCTCCAGAAGCTTCACCAGTATTGTCAAAAAGGGATCTTTTTTAAATAAAAGGACAGTCATTCTAGTTATGTATTATGAATATGAAATTGCTTTCACTTTCACATGTCTCTTTCCCCAGTCATTTAAAGTATTTTCCCCCTAATGTTCCTAAAGGTACTGACAGTGTCAAAAACCCCACCTTTGCAACTAGGTACAAGATTTTTTCAAACTGCCATTCCAAAGCACCATTTGCCAACACAGACATGTGTGATCATCAAACAGCACTGGCATGCTTTTGTGTAGAGCCATGTGTTAGAGGCAGCAGGCCTCAGCCAAGGAATTGGCTCCTGGAATTCAAGAACAATGATGGCTGGTCAGCCTTCCATTCTGAAACACAGAACAACTTCATTTCCTTGCACATGCTCAGTATCTTCATTTCAACATGTGTGCCAGCACCAGAACTTTATGATTTGTTCACACATAGTACTTGACACAGAATATAAAAGCTAAGCATCTTATAATTAAGGTGGCAATAACAGGGCTTGCTCAACAACACAAAACAATGTATTATCTGATGTCACTAACATCAATTTATTAGCTAAACAGAATGTTTAAGCCTTTCCACTGAAAACAAAGTTTATCAGATGATATTTCAAAGCCTAAAAGGCAAAAAAATATTACAAATATGTAATACTACACAGCATGTAAATTTAATAAAATATCCTGATCACAAGACAGATAAATTTTTCCCCTCTGATATTTTCCTCAAACTACATGCAGGTACCAAGGACAGGGTTTTTCTAATTCCTTTTTAGCCTATACTATAAAAACAGCAAAATTGAGAATGTAAAGAAATGGCATTATCTATTTACTGTAAGAACTCTGCACAAGTCAAAGGTCAAGACTGGTACTAAGTGAGAGCATGTCTTTCATGAAACCTTATGTTTCTGCTTGCAAGATAAGCAGGATTGTAGGAACAAGTAGGTCAGAAGCTGCAACAAGTAGGTCAGAAACCATAAATCAGATCAAATCATATAATACAGACTGAAGTGCAACAGACTTAAAGCTGCTGCAGAAGATGAAGGCACAGAGTTCTTCAAATTTAGAACTGCATGGCTGCTTGTCCTTCTATCGAAAGTAGCAATTGTAAGAAAAAATATTCTGTATATCATAATGAGATGGCTTCCTTGTGAAGTAAAAATGAATTATGCTCTCTCATCACACACTTTCTAGGGGAGATTGCTGTCTAAAAGTAGAAAGAAATGGAAAAAACCCAACAGAGTTGACCAAGGCTGCCACAAGTCAGCATGCTGATGCTGTTGGGCTTCATACCCTTCTCTAAAGTGAGATACTGGAAGTGTGTTAAAGAGCACAGGGCTGACTCCCTGTGGGCACATCAATACCTATTTTACAGAATTTGTTTAAGACAAAGGAGATGCAAAAAAAAATGTTTTGCTTATCCATCATTGGACAGTCTTCACTACACATATCCTTTAACTGGTGTGCAACTTACTAATTTTCTTGTTCACCTAATAAAAGATACATTCAGACTGAGCAAAAAATGCCTTGCTCTTAATAAAGTTACATATTCATTAGGTTTTGATAAATGCCTGCAACCCCTTTCCCCTTCCCAATAATCTCCTTCAAGTACCCCTAGGCTCTAATCACAGTATTCTCAGTAATTAAGGTTTTGATTTTAAATTTGTTGAAAGCTGCCTAGAGAGATATTCTGATTACCAGCTGAGCCTCAACTACAAACAATTTGAGGCTTTCCCCTGCTTTCTGGAGGGAATCTGTCAGCAAGTTTAAAGATGCCAGTTCAAGTATTTTGGCCACATGACAAGGATTCCTAATTCATTACTTCTTTCATAGGATCACAGAGCAAAGCAAAATTCTCTGCAGAGCATATTTGGATGGTTTGTTTTCCAGAATGTCAGTCTTAGTATTTTCTCTTGGATTCTGCAACCACTAGCAAGGCAGCAAAAGCACGTGGACAGTTTATTCAAGTATTTAGTACCATGTAGCTGTCACTAAGATTGACACTGCTTTAGTAATTACTCCTTCCTACAACTAATAAACTTTCTTTTATAATTAGCCCTGGGAAATCAGGTTTGCAGGTATAAATTACACTCACAAAATACACCTAAAATATTAACCTGTATCTCTTATCTCTTCCAGATTTCAAACTATTCAGTGAAAAAAAAATCTAAAATACTGACTTTTCCAAACAACAGTGACTCTAAAAAACGGGTTTAAAAAAAAGCATTAGTGTATCCTAACCTGCCATGAAAAAAATAGTATTACTTTTGTATTTATACTTTGATGTTCAATAGCATTTTGCAGTACAACCTGCAAAGGGAGAAACCATTTGAGAAAACAAAAAAAGGTGGTTATCATTAAATGCACTGCAACACTAGGGAGTTCATCTGTAAGTATAATTTATCAGGAAAAGAGGCAACAGTCAACAGCAAGAAGTATACTCGTGCTTCAGACTGACAGATGTCACTCATTCTTTCTTTTGTCTGCAATTGCCATGTCTTAAATCAGCTTCCAAATCATTATTTTTACAAGAAATATCTTATTGGTGTGCAACATAATCAAGTATTACGAAATTCTTCCTACTTCACCAACAGTGGTATAGCACCAAAAAGTCTGTTCTGAAAAATGTAAACTAATGACCAATACAAATCACCTCAGGAAAGGAAATGAGTCGAAAATATTAAGACTGATGGCATGAAAATCAGTTTTCTGAAGAAAATTATTTGGCACTCAACACTGGTTTACAATCTATATCATACTGTTTGGTACACAAATACCAAATTATGTTATAATATTATGCCATTCAAATATATTTCACACTAACTGCAGTATTATCTCATTAAATTATCAATGGTCAAGTACTCTATGTTTAAAAATTATGAGAGAACCCAGCTGTAATGGGCATTCAAGTGCTGACTGGATCAATTTCTAGTTTTTAATTTGTATGAGGTTTTATCTGATCTGCCATACTTGTCCCTGTTGAACGTAGTTTTCTTTTCTTACTAAACTTAAACAGGTGACTCAGGTGGTATCAGTTCTTCTAGTCTTTTTCTTAAATAAAGGACTCCAGTAACTCCCACGGCCTAATCTTCTGTGAATTGTCAAAAAGTACAACTACAAAAAAAAAGGCATGAAGAATAGGGGAAATCAGTCAAAAAATACTTCCCCAGAAATTAAACCTGCCCAAGCTGTCTAGAGAGACAACTTCCCACAGGACAGGATTTAAAGCACAGTGGTAGGAGGATGCTACACCTAGCAGCACCTGGGCATGGTCCTAGGAAACCTGGACATGGTGCCTCTGCCTGAGGAGTGAACCCCCACCACTCTGTGATTCCCTAACTGGTATTTCACACACGCCAAAAACTACAACAATGGTAGATTAAGACAAAGGATGGTGACCATATTCCACCAGATTATGAAAACAAGAGACATTAAATGAAATTTGAAGGTAACACATTTATAAGCTCTGGGAAGAAAATATGTTTCACTGGGTAGATACTAACTTTCTACTGTAATTGTTACATACTATATACGTATCAATAGAATGCTTTATGTGGCTGATCATGTAAGGAAAAGGGCGGGGTTCTCCTAAAAAAATAATAAAAAGAAACTGTATTTTTGGGAACAAAGCGGAAACATTCAAAACTACGGTGGAGATGGTGGTGTAACTTCAGCAGCAGTAGCCAGAGGTAGAGGGAAATAGCTAGAAAATAAACCTAGAAAAACAGTTACCATGAGAGCAGCTTGACATTCAGGAAGGTTCTATCATGCAGTTTGCCCATTCATATGGGCAGAGCATGCATATTCCAGGACAAGGCAAGAACAGCCTAATTACATTGCAACTCCACCTGAACACAAAACAAAACCAACACAGTGCTTTTTGCTTCATTCAGACAGAAGTGACTGCCAGAAATACATTTAATTTTTTTTTCCCAATCCACACTCCATGCACAAATCAATGCTTTGGTAATTCAATACAATAAAGTTATTAATAAGACCTTTGAGATGAACAGCTCTTTCCTAGAAAAATACATTTAATTTCTATTGGTACCTTTACCTTATGAAATGTGACACAATTCAAAGTTAATTATTACTTTAGAATACTTTGTAATTGCTAATTAAGACTTCCAATTGCAGAATTATGGAGTGTGCACATTTTACTTCTTCAGGACAGTCATGTTATTTACTAAGCCTGTGTAAGACATTAGATAACAAAAAAGCATAATAGTAAGAACACAACAAGAATGAGAGACATGAGCTTATCCTCCAGTAGAAAACAAAATTATGCATCTGAAACTACACTGCCCTTCAAGACCTTACCTTCTTTTTGTCCCTCATTGAGCCCTTCCCTCGGACCATTATCTTGCATCCTGTTTCTGCCTCAAGCTGTTTAGCTGTTAGTCCTCTGGGCCCAAGGATTCTTCCAACAAAGTTAAACTGAAAGAAAAAAATAAATAATTTCTAAAAAATCAAGTAAATAAAATTAGTTTGAAATTTAACAAGACGTATTTATGCACCTAAAAATATCAAGTGTTGAATGGCTTAGGACACCACACTAAATGCCTGAGGTTGAAAAATGAGTTAGGTACTGTTTCGTTTTCATACATTAAGTACCCATGTGACTCCAGCTTTGGGGATACAAGTCTCAGGTGGAACTAGGTCTTCTAGATGCAACATCAGGTAGTCTACATCAGCAGCAGCTCCTATTTTCCTCCTCATTAAGTTGTACAAGCTCTTACAGAAACTCCGAGCCAGGCTCATCCATTGGCCAACAAGGTGCACCATGGCAAGGAAACACACAGGGAGGGCTGGGCACTCAGTCTGGGAAGGACATCAAAAATAACCCTCCTTTATCTACCCATGCCTTGGCATTTCCTTCAGAAAAAACAAGTGAGGCCTCTTACGTGTTTATTTTAGGCTTCATGGGCAACATTTCTTAAAAATATGATGTTGTCATACACACACACACACACACACACATATATATAAAATATTTGTATATATAAAAATTTAGGTGTCTATACAGACACAACAAAAGCACATCACTTTTTGTAAACTGTTTCATTTATATAGTTGTACATACAAATGAAGCAAGCATTTCATGTTTAATTGGCTGACTTCAGCAGACAGCCCCCTGCCTACTCTCAACACAGTAATACCACCATTTAGCCATACATAACATTATTTCCTAGTTATTTTCAAGAGCTTTTTCCCTTTCATTATTTTCAACCTCACATTCTGAAATAATTTATTTATGACATAAATAAAAAAAGCACTAAGTGATGGTAGCATTGAGAACACAGAGCAGTATTCTGCGACAACTGCAGTGCCAAGATGAAGCACCAGCTAAAATGACAGATAAACTAAGAAGTTTCAGACTGAACATTAAATTCAAAGAAGAAATTAAAAGAACAGAAACTCTGCTGTAACGTTCTGCTCTGGATATTTTAGATCCCGGTAAACAAAGTTATTCAATGGAATTGTGAAGAAGTTGTTGGCTTTCATTTCCTCAGCTAATTAAAACTGGGCTTGAGTACTAAAACTCAATGTATTTGAAATCCTAATGAAACTGCAAAGACCAGAAACGATTTAGGAGTAAGCAGAAATTATGAATGCAAGGAAATTGAAGTTCTTTAAGAAAATTAACAGTGTTTCACAGCAGCTAAACTATTCTGGGAATATATACTCCCAAAGTTATTTAGTATTGCAAGCTCAGAAAACAAAGACATTATGAAGTCTGAATCAACCACAGGGAGGGTGAGGGGGTGTGTAGTGAAGACGAAAGGAACTTGTGAACACACACAGAAACTGTGAATCATAAGAAATTAAAGAAACATTCACTAAGCTTTGATAAAGCAATGAACTAGCTACAAGTAATAAAGTTCAGCTGTGAAATATTATTAAAATCTTACATGTTACACATTTTGCTTTTATTATGAAAATTGTACCATTGTTTTACATGAACAGTATCTTGCTTTTCTCCGCATCCACACTTCTGCACACTAAAACTTTAGATATCTGTGCCATTCCACTCATAATGCTAAAATAATATTGCAAAGCTGATTTGAAATCAATACTTTAACCAACACAAAAACTGACTATTGCTATATTCTCCATCTCCCAAGAAAACCAGTAATCTTTAATGTTTCATTAATTTGGATTATGAGTAAAAGAAAAATCAAATAACAACATACTTTGGATAAAAAAATTAAATAGAACAATACAGGATACAAAGAAAAAAAAAGGGAGAAATCTGTATTATCCTGAAGTTTGCAAATTTATTGAAGTATGCAACCTTTCTTTCCAAACTGTACCTATTAACACTTGGAGTCTTTTTGTATAGCTGCTCTTTCCAAACAGCTGCCTGTTCCCACTGCCTCTCCTGGGCCCTAGAATTTGATCATATCTAAAAGCAGGATGCCTAGACAAGGCAGTACTTCTACTGAAATCTCAACAATGTTAAATTACTCAGAACAATTAGATCTTATTACCTGCATTCTTATTAACATATCCCAGGTTGTTTCTTTCCCTCCCTCAAAAATTCAATTCCTATGTTTGTTTTAACATTCACTGTCCCCAAATACTCTTCTCCATTATCTCAGCCTTGATTTTGTCCCCTAGTTTTATATTAATATGAAACTTGTATGCCCCTCTACAACTGCTTTACATGTGTGTAACGAATTTCATGTTGTTGACTTCAGGCACAGTAATTTAAAGACAGAATTAAAATTCAAAACTGACTTTAAAAGCATTTGGTAATGACCTAATTTCTTTCTAAGCATACTTTCTATCCTACCAACCAAATTTTCTTCAGTGTGTTAGAGATACGAGATGAAGGAGCATGCTGCAGGACCCCACCTGAGGTGCAGTCTTAATCAGTCATCAGTAATCAATTATCATAGATTAAGCCACGTATTGCTTTAACAAATGATCCCCTACCTTTTGTACCAATGTTCACTGTCAGTATTCAGTTTCTCAGACAACCATATTAAAAGTCCAAGTTCAGAACTTATAGAAAAACATAATTCAGACTCTTTTGTTGGAAGCTGTGACCAGCAAGATCACAACTCAGGAACAGAGAGTGAGCCCTCAAGTTAGACAATTCTGTCAGAGTCCAGTTGTATCTGCAGCTACTGCTTCTCTTGCCTGTCGGGCCAGCTAGACTATCAAACAGAATTACCAGAACAAGACATCTGACAAATTCAGAAGATCATTCTTAGCATCTAACTCTATTTCTCGTGCTCTTCGTCTCATATTGTCACCCAAACACACTCATCATTGCATTGTGTTCCTCTATAAATAACACACCTGTGCTCAGGAATACTGTTTGTTCTAACATTTGTACAGAGACAAAGCTAAGAATATTTCCCCTTGATTTCTTCGAGTGTTTCTCACTTTTCATTTGAGCACTATAGGATTCACCTCACCCCCAGAGAATTCAGAAATCAATTTGACCAATTTAAGGCTGCACTACTTGGAATGCATCTAACTTCACACATGTTGAAAAGTGAGATTATGTTAAAAATTAAGCAGAAGTGGCTTAAGCTAAGATGAACTGCTTCCACATCAACAACACAGAAAAAGCAATCAAATGGAGTCAGTCTCTCCTTCCACAATAATTAAAATCTCTCTACACTCAAAATATTTTTCTATGAAAAGTTTTTCACTAGTGTTTCTTTTTACAATCGTTTTCCTGAGTTTTATTTTCATGTGCTCAAATCTTCCTCAACTCAAAATAAGAACTAAATAAGCAACCTCCAGAAGATGGTGACACACAAACACAAGAACATCCTAAAAGCCAAGAATTACAAGTGTTTAGTGGAGCTCAGGTGCTGAAGTTCCAACCAGTTACACCCTTGTTGCTCTCCCTCTGCCTGTTTCTCTGCATCATCACCCTCACACTCCCTTACTTTGCTAACTTTTCACATTTGAAGTTTTCAGCATGTACAAAACACTACTGGATGTTGTCTTTGTTTGCGATGATGTCCCAAACACACATCCTTAAAGAAAAAAGAGACAGCATATCTTGGGAGACTGCACTTGAGGATCTTTGTTACTCCAAGTGTTTAAGCAGATACAAATGTACTGGGGGGAAAAAAATGCTCCAAATCCTAATGTTTCTACTTACTCTGGAATATTAATGATCATTCTGCAGCAACCAGCGCTCCCAAGAGTCAACAAAATTTCCATGTGGTGACCTACCTAACAAGTCCACTGTAAAAGAAACCCCCTGATAAAAACATCTTCTATTGCCTACACATAAAACAGCTATTTCCTAAGCAGACGAGGTACTTTTATAGTCCTCACCAGTCCTCATGCCCAGAACAAAAGTAGCGAAGAAAAGTAAGAATGAACCATGCCAAAGACTCAGAGCTGCTTAATAAGAGACTACAAAGAAGTGTTTCTGGTTATTACAGTATAGGAAATGCAGTGTTTAAGGATCTTTCCATGCATGTTAAAATCTGTGGAACTTGAGGCAGACAAGTACTAAATTTCATACTTCTATTATGACTTTTGTATTTTGTGTTTTCCTTTGAAATATGAATATAAGACGTGGCAAGAACTAATTTAACTTATGAAAAAAATTCTTTACTTCATTAAGGGAAATGAATTTGAAAAAATCCAATTTGATTGAAATATCCAAATCTAGCAAGAAAGAACATAAACATATGCATTTGATCAAACAATTATTTAACTCAATTAAAAACTCATTTATTTTACAATCTTATTAGCAAATGTTCCAGTGACTTACTAAACATTGATTCTGCAGAGTCAGTTACTTATCACTGGAAAAAAGCCAAAAACAAGCTATTCTTCAAGTCTATTTTAACTTAAGGAAATTGAGAAAAGTTTTCAAAAGCCTTTATGTTCTTAGGTACAATTTGTGTATTTGAGTACTTTTCGTACCCGGACTAAACATTATTTTAAGCAAAGTCTCAAGAAAAGCTCAGTAGTTCCTTTTACAACAAAACCAAAAGATGCTCTCCCCTTCATGCTGACTTTAAGCATACTTTAAGATAAAATAAACTGCTAAATTCAGAGAAATATTATAAACACACAAAAAAGGAGCCCCTTCTTTACTAGTGATCCATAACAAAAGCTTAGCAATGTATCTATGTTTCTGGCAATCCAGCATTTGGTTTCACTTTCTGATCTCCAGCTTAGAAAAAACACTTACATTCTATTATTTCCCTTAAAAAAACCCACTGTAATTACTACAACTAAGTAATGGTAACCATAACTGCCCACTCTTGATGATGTCATTTAATTCTTAACCTCCTGCAAAAAGCAGCTTCAGCACAGTCATGTCATTTATGGAAACAAGGTCTCCATTTTGAGACTATCTTTACATATAATTTCCTTTTTTTTTTTAAATCCTAACAGGACAAAACTTCAGGCTTCTCAATCCGTTCACAAGCAGCCTTGCCTACCCTTAT